CAGCACGGAGCCTTGGGACCCGGGGCCGGCACCTGGCCGGCGGGGCCCGCGCAGCAGCGCGGGACCCAGAGACCGGGACGGTACCTGGGCGGCGGGGCCAGCACAGCGGCTGAACCCGGCTCCGTCCGAGCAGGGGCGCCGCACCGCCGCAGGAGGCTGCAGCAGGCAGGCCCCAGGCCAGGGCTCGCGGGGCGCGCCGGGGCAGGAGCCGGGGTAGGCTCCTCAGGCATTCCATGGCGCTGGGGCACGGAGGAGGCAGCAGCCGGACCCCAAGCCCTCATGCCGGACACAAGATGCTCGGCCCGCACTGCGCGACCTGCGTCGCCCGTCACGACCGCTGCGCACTGGGCATGCGCGGGGGTGTCATTGGGCATGCGCGGGGGTGTCATTGGGCATGCGCGGGGGTGTCACTGGGCATGCGCAAGGAGCTGCGCATGCATAGAAGAGGCCTAGGGGGCGCGGCTCCCGCGTCTGGTGGCTGATGGGAGTTCGTGTTCTGCCGCTGGGCTTGTGAGGTGTGAGGTTTAGCCGGCCGGCCTCGGGGGCGATAGAGACCCATTTATCTTTGCCAATCTGTGCAAATCCACTGTGTAGCCTAGGTTCTTCGGCTTTTGGAATGATCAGACAGTTTTAAAGGATCGATTATTCCTGTCAACTAGTAATTATTAAATAAGAAAAAAAAATAACAAAATGTGGCTCATGCTTTGCAGTTTCTGGAGCATTTCCATTCATATAATGAAACCTGCAATTTGGAAGCCCGGAGGTTATTTAGCCATCCTCAAATCACTTAATTTACATTTAAGTTTAACGCAGCCCCCAAACCCCAGCTGTCATAAGGAATGATATAATAACTTGCTAGTTAAGAATGAGATACACACGATTTATGTTCTGTTTTATTAAACATGATGAACAAGGTGAAACATAAACAAGATGAACCAATTTCAAGGTACCATTATTTTGTGCACTATGGAGAAAGAAAAAAAGAAAGCTTATATACTTTATTTCTAAAAATAGCAAAACACTCCAATTTCAGTCTTTAAGATATGAAAATAGTAATTCTGAGAGCATAATACATACAGTATACATACATATTTTTAAAATGTCAGCCAATAGATAAATTTACTCTTCCATAGTAGTAATGCAAAGCAGACTCGTGTTTCACAGATTTCCATTCAATTTCTGCATATGAATCTGGAGTTTAAAAGAGAGAAATATTTATTCTGCAGGGCACTGGGCTCAGATTGAATGGAGTAGGAAGGCAGTAGAGGAGGAGGCAGTCACAGAAGAGAACTTGGACTTGGTTTTGAGGTCTAGGAGCACTTGAAACATTACTTCCAGGTGGTGTGGAAAGAGCCCTGAGCAGTGAGAATATGGCAGGTAGATTTTTCACTTTAATGATGTGCTAAATCTTTTTTTTTAAATGCTCAATGTTTTCACAGATACTTCTTTGAGAAAATATGTGATAACTCTTTTTTGTGGGTGTGTGTCTTCTAAGCTTTGCCCTCAGCACAATGAGACTGATTTCAGGTGACCCTTTCAAAGCCTTGGGAAAACTCTGGCACTTGTCCAAACACATGTCCCTGTAATTCATGACAAGAATTTGGACTTTAATCTGAGAAGGGTGGGAACAATTGTGGGACTCTGAGCAAAGAAGTAATGAGCAGAGAGGTATTAATCTGATTTATTTTTAGTTTTTCTTTGACTTTTTTTTTTTTTTTGGCAGTTCTAGGAACAAATCCAGGGCCTCACATGTACTAGGCAAATGCTCTGCCGCTGAGCTACATCACCAACCTTTATTGTTTTTAATAGAGCACTCTGACTGCATGGGAAAAGGTGACAGAGAGATGTGGGGTGACAGTTTGGCTAAGGCAGAGGTGGTGGAGAAGGGGAGATGGGATGGGCTTGTTGTTACATGTTGAAGGCCGAATTGATAAGGTTTATAGATGGATATGGGAGAAAGAGGCATAAAAGTTGACTCTAAATTTTCAGCTTGAACATCTGTGAAATGGAAGTGTTATTTACTGAGATAGGGACTTTTGGAGAGGAGCAGTTTGGTATTGAAAATAGTTTATGCGGGCTGGGGATGTGGTTCAAGCGGTAGCGCGCTCGCCTGGCATGCGTGAGGCCCGGGTTCGATCCTCAGCACCACATACAAAGATGTTGTGTCCACCGAAAACTAAAGAATAGATATTGAAATTCTCTCTCACTCTCTCCTTAAAAAAAAAAAAAGAAAATAGTTTATGGCCTTCTTGACCCAGCAAGGATCACCTGACACCACGGTGAAGGGAAATTGGAACAGTGAGACTCCTGAGGTGTAACCATAGAAGCCACTTTATTTTTGTCCTCTGCAGTCCCTCTAAGCCTGTGGAGTGAGGCCAGTGCTTCCCTTGGAACTTGGGCAGGTTCCATGACTTCTGGTCCTGCAGTTAGTTCTGTGTTCACTTTGTCTTAGTTCAGTAACTCCAAACACCTGGCCTATGTATTAATTTCAGTTCAACAATTTGCAGTGTTAAACCCAATATATTAATGTATACTTTAATCTTCATTCAAAGGGAAGACTTGGCTCCCTTCTCCTTGCTGGGCCTGGAGGCAGGTGAGAATTTTTGGTGCAGCTGGGGATGTTAAACCACGACGCAAAGAAAAGACCACCAACTCCACTTTAAATCAAATTAAAGTAAGCTTGCAATTCCTACCGGCCGGGGCTGTCTCTCCTGAAACCTGTGGGAATAGAAGACAACACTCTAGCTCTCTAGGAGCACAGCTTTATAGCACAGAAAGTTGCAAAAAGGCGGCGGGTGTGTGTGTGTGTGTATGTGTGTGTGTGTCTTGAGAACTTACAGATAACAGGATTTTGACAAGCATAACACAAAGGCAGGTAGTAGCTTAATAATCTAAATGGTCCAGCACTTAGGGAGTAAATTTAGATCCCAACATCAGAATTTATGAGGTGGCACTAGAGTTTCAGAGAGGGTCATTATCTGGCCAAGCAAAGCCAGGCATGGGTGATTTCAAGGCACGGGCAGGCATTCCAAGCAAGTTTAGAAATTGCAGTAATATATAGTAAAGCCGAAATTAACTTTTCATGCCTTTGAGACGAGGTGGCTCCCAATCTTAAGAGGTAATTAGGCTGGGTTTATCAGAGACCCTGTGCCAGCTCCCCCAGACCTTCCTGCCACCTTTCCTACTCCATGACGCTGCTTCTGCCACTGCTGGGCAGTGATGCAACACAGGAGAAACTAGACGCTGGTTTTGGAAGATGGCATCCCACCCTCCAGGTGGGGCCGACTTTGAAGCTGACTCTTATTGTTCGGGTTGTGGGGGTTCTCAGAGGCCTTCTCCTCTGCTTCCTGCTGGGCCCATCTGGTTGCCATTCCCTTGAGAAGGACAGCATCGGTCCTGGTCATTTTGAGCTCTGCCCCTTTTTGCCCCTCATGACCAAATGCCTCTCTCTCTCTCTGATATGCTCTTTGGGGCAAGATCCTTTAAAAACACCCCCAGGGTGATATTTTTATTGCTACCTCTGCACCCCAGGATTCAAGCACTTTTAGAGAGGAAATGGTTACTTCCCCGTGCAAAACTGCTGTTGCTTGCTCATGTGTAAGTGAGAAACCCCTCAGGCTCCTGGGGTCACCTCAAGAAACTCCTGTCCCTACACTTGAAGTGACAGGCACCCCCTCCCCTTTCCGTCTGATGTCTGGCGGGGGCGGGACTCACACAGCCCAGCCTCTGCCTTCCATACCCTGTCTGCCCAAGTCCTTACCCTTCGGGCTTTTGTGTTTACTTCTGGATGAGGCTCCAAGAGTTGGGTAATGGGTCCTCAGGTGATTCCCCTTGGAGTTTGCATCTGCTGATCTGTCTTCAACTGGCTTTGTTACTGGTGCTCTGCTTTGGCACCTCCGTGGGGTCTCCTACTCCCCCCTTTCACTTCTTTTCTTAGTACAGCCATTTATTTTACAAGTGTATCAAGAATAGATGATATGCCAGATGTTATCCTGGGTTCTAGGGATAAAAGTGAACGAAACAAAGCCCCTATGTGTGGTGGATTGAGTAGCACCCCCCTGCGACACAGGTACGTCCATCTGGAACCTCAGACTGTGACGTCACTTGGAAGTAGAATCTGCAGATTTAATTTGTCAAGGATATCAAAATGAGGCCATCCTGGATTTAGAGCAGACCTTTAGGAGGCATGAGTTCTGTGCTGTTGGGGCCTCAGTTGTATTTCTTGAAAGTTGTCTGCTGGGAACACCCAAAAGAGAGACGTGAAACAGCTTCAGGGAGCTTATCTAGGGGAGACAGATGTTCCAATATGACTATGCACTATGCAGAGTGCTACGGAAAAGCAGGGCGGCATCTGTCAGGACTTACAGGAGGCCGACCTAGCTTGGGTGGCCAGGGAGAGCCTCTCTGAGGAAGGGACATTCAGACTGAGACCAAAAGCGTGCGTGAGCATCGCCATGCAGACGACAGGGAGGGTAAGGAAGCTGCCCTACAGGGTAAGGATGTGTGGGGAGACTAGTGTCTCTGTGCACAGGAAGAACTCTCAGAGGTGGCTGTTCCTTGGGGTGGGGGCTGATGAGCTGGTGATTCTAACAGGAGGCCAGAGGGTGGGCAGGGGCAGATCAGGCTGGGCTTTGTTGGCCTCGGTAAGGAGTTTTGATTTCATTCTTGAGGGGTTGTAAGCCAAAGGCAAAGATTCCGTTTCCATTTCTACGTGATCACTCTGACCTCCTAGGGACTGGGTGGTAGAGGGGCAAGAGCCCTGGAAGGCTGCAGCGGGTACCTGTGAGAGATCTGAGTCCTCGGAGATGTTTAGGAAGCAGAGCGGGGCAGCCTGGACGGCTGATGAGAGGAGAAGGTGTGTTAGCTGGCTAGGGCTGCAGACCGGGGCTTCATCAGTGGACATCTGTCCTCTCTCCGCCCTGGAGGCTGGAAGTCCAAGGTTGAGGTGTGGACAAGGTTGGTTCTCCTGAGGTCTCTCTCCTTGGCTTGCAGTTGGATCCTTCCTGGGTCCTCTGCACAAGCACATCTCTGGTGTCTCTGTGTCCTAATCTTCTCTTTTAAGGACACCACTCCTATTGGATTAGGGCCACCCTAACAGCCCCATTTTAACTTAATCACCTCTTTAAAGGTCCTGCCTCCAAGTGCAGTCATATTCTGAAACACTGAACGTTTGGGGCTTCAACTGACAGATTTTAGGGGCCTACAATTCAATCCGTAATGAGGTAGAGACGAAACCTGTGATTATAGCAGGAGCAAGAGTGTGCTGAGTGAGGGAGGATTGTGAGTTACACATTGAGTTCTAGACTGTCAAATAAATATAACAGGTCAGACACTTGGATAAGTTGGTCTGGATCTGGGAAGAAAGTCTAAGCTAGATATATCCAAGTGGGTTTAGCACATAGATCATAAGTGGGGCTGTATGAGTGCAGAATATCGCCTACAAAGAGGGAGAGACAGGAGAAAAGGATCTAGGACAGGCTCCACCAGGCACACACCCCTGGGGTGGAGGGAGAGCAGGTGACAGAGAGCAAGGAAGAGAATGAGAGGGTGGGTCCTTTGTTCTTAGTATGTACTCACCTAAAAGGTAGCACTGTAGTATGTTTTTGTTTTATTGCTGTAACAAAACACTTGAGGCAGGATACTTTATTTTTTTTTTTAAAGTTTATTTAGCTCATAGTTTTTGAGCTTGAAAGTCCAAGATTCTGTGGCCCCATTGGTTTGGCCTCTGGGCTCCCTCATTTGCATCACAATGTGGTGGAGGAGCAGAAAGGGAACCTAGGAACAACCATGTGGCCTGACTTTATAACAACCCACTCTCATGAGAACTCATGAGACTAGCTTTAATCCCCTCAGAGGGTGTGCTCCCATGATGTGATCACCTCCACGAGGTCCCACCACTCCAACACCCCCACACTGGGACCAAGCGTCCAACGCAGGATTCTCATTAAGCCCCACCAATGCAGATCCTTAGGACTGGTGTGTAGGGAGGGGTCTCTAATGGGCCTACAAGTCTGCCTTGTGGTCTCTCTGCACTCTGTTCTGGGACGTTCTTACTGTGCTGCCCACCAATCTGAACTTGGGAGGCTCTACTCTTTTTTAAATGTTCTGGCACAAGATCTGTACAAAGAACTTCAAGGAGCAAAGCAGAGAAGCGAAGTTGGTGCTTTGTGGTATCGTGGCTTTACTTTTCCGTCTTAACTACCAGCTTCCCCGGGCAGTAGTTTTGAAGTTCTTGTTTAAACATAAAAGGCTTTTTAATTATTTTCTTCCAAAGATTCTGGAAATTCCTACCATGTAACATCTAATGAAATGAATTTCTATGCAACAACCAGTGTCTATATTCTTCTTATTTTAGTGATCTCAGGATATTTTATTGTAGTTAAATATTTCATCATAAAAAAATTTTGACAGGTTGAAAATAGTGTCAGATTTGTCTTATTTTTATGGGGTCTCCGGGTCCAGGGATCCCAGGCCAGGGGTCTTGGTCCTAAAAGAATTGCTTTTCCTTGGTTGCTGGAGGAGCGATGAGGCGGGTGAATCTGTTCTCTTTCCTCCCTGCTCCCTGTGGGGACTTTGCTAGCAGGCATGTTTTTCTAATGAAAATATTCAGTCCCGCCTGGAGTTAATTCAAACAATTTTGCTTTCCTTGTGTTTTTCCAAGGGACTAGAATATCTGAATTTGTATCTCCTGGTCGCTATCAACCAAAACACACAAACACATTTTCTATTTTGAAAAACAGTGACTGAACATTGTTAATATATCATATTATAAGGCACAATAGATAGTCCAAAAGAATGCAATCAAACATGAAGCTGGATTTATGAGAATCAGGCTTCTGAATTTCTAGTATTATTGCTGGGATTTTAGAGATGATGTGTTTGGTTTTGTGTCTGATAAATTCTATATATTTAAAAGCTTAAGGTTCCTATATTGCACATGAAAAGGATGGTAGAATGTCGGGAGTCATGAGCTCAGGTCTACTGACATGGTGGTCCAGGGATTCTCTGCGGCTGAGGTGTCCTGTCACTGCAGGGTGTTTAACGGTATCTCTGAATTTTACTCACCGGTCCAGTAGCTCCCCTCTCTTGAGTTATTAGAAACAAAAATGCTTGCAAATATTTCCACTGTCTTTTTTTTTAATATTTATTTTTTAGGTGTAGTTGGACATAATACCTTTATTTTATTTATTTATTTTTATGTGGTGCTGAGGATTGAACCCAGGGCCTCGCACATGCTAGACAAGCGCTCTACCACTGAACTACAACCCCAGCCCCAATTTCCATGGTCTTTTGAGAAGCAAAAAAAAAATCACTCCTGTTTGAGAGCCATTCTATTTTTTAAAATACAGAAAAGGACCCACAAGCCCCAGGACCAGTTTTTAATTTTTTTTCTTTTAGTTGTCAATGAACCATTACTTTATTTATTTACATGTGGTGCTGAGAATCAAACCCAGTGCCTCACACATGCAAGGCAAGCGTTCTACCATTGAGCTACAACCCCAGCTCCCCATTTTTTTTAAAGAAGATATTTTCCTTGGGCTGGGGTTGTGGTTCAGTGATAGCATGCTCGCCTAGCATGCATGAGACACCGGATTCGATACTCAGCACCACATAAAAATAAAATAAAGATGTAGTATCCACCTAAAACTAAAAAATAAATATTTTTATTTTAATAAATAAACATTTCAACTCTCTGGTTGTACATGGTGTAGAGACACACCTTTAAAGTTGAGAGAGACTTTCTTCACTATACTAGACATTAAAATTTGCAAAATTCATGCAGTATGCATGTATGAAAACATAAGTGGATTCCATTAATTTTTATAATGAATATGTGTTCACAGTTAAAGATAAATAAAATTTGTAAAACTATGGTACCAGACTCCAGCACTGTTAGATTATATTTTCCTTTATTTTGATGACCTAAAAATGCATTCTGACTTGTTTGTGTGAAGTATTCACATCCTGATCCCAAAGTGAAAGTCCAACTTTTGGAGGCGTTTCCTGTTTGGACGCAGCAGGTACAGATGGGGGTGGGCTTCTCTGGGGTCCTAATGCATAATCTTATTTGAAGAGTTTCAAGGACTTGGCCACACGAGGGAGCACCATTCCCAGGTTGGTTTGCTTGTTATGAACTATGGTAATACCAGCTTGTCCCAGGAAGTTAAATGACGCAGGGAATCCTTAGTCAGACTTCAGAAACACAGCTGGATTCTACATGGCCACCTACCACACCGTGGTCCTTGTCATCTGGGTTGTGAGACCTGCCACTGCATTTCCGTTTCTCACTTGTAATTTTTGAAACCAGTAGTGTAAAAAGCACCTGTGGATGGAAGAGTGTTGCCACACACCGCTGCTTTAAAGACTTGCTCAGAATAAAGATGCAAACAAACATCCTCCAGTCGACACCCTCCACTGGACATCCTCCACCTGGAGGAAGACACAGTCTGTGGGGACCTGATATCTGGTGCTGGCTCTGCCTCTGCATGCAATTCACAGATATTTAATATTAGGCAGCATATTTTCTTTTTATAAATATTTCACTTCTCAAATGCTGTTTCTGATCTCAGAGTGTTTGACATTTCAGCTGGTGGGGGTAGGACACCTTAACGAGTGTATGCCATAGGCTTTAAAGATAGAATAATTGTAATGTGCTCGGTAACACCACATTTTCTTATCTCAAAGATTTTTTAAAAGTTTGTATTTGCTGAAAGTGCTCTCAGACTTATTTATTTATTTCTGTTCTTAGTTGTACACGACAGCAGAATAAATTTCAATTCATTGTATACAAATGGAGCGAAACATTTCAACTCTCTGGTTGTACGCGGTGTAGAGACGCACCATTCATGCAATTATACATGTACCTAGGGTAGTGATGTCCATCTCATTCCACTGTCTTTCCTACCCTCATAACCCCTTCCCACCCTCCCCTTTGCCAGATCCAAAGATCTTCTATTCTTCCCATGCACCCACTCTCCATCACAGATCAGAATCCACTAATCAGAGAAAACATTCCGCCTTTAGTTTTTTGGGATTGGCTAACCTCACTTAGCATAATACTCTCCAACTCCATCCCTTTATCTGCAAATTCCACAATTTTTTCTCTTTTAATGCTGAGTAATATTCCATTGTGTAGATATACCACAGTTTCTTTATCCATTCATCTATTGATGGGCGTCTAGGTTGGTTCCACAGTTTAGCTATTGTGAATTCAGCAGCTGTAAACATCAGTGTGGCGTTGTCATTATAGTATGTCTGATTTTAAGTCCTTTGGGTATAAACCAAGGAGTGGGATAGCTGGGTCAAATGGTGGCTCCATTCAGGTTTTCTGAGGAATCTCCACACTGCTTTCCAGAGTGGTTGCATCAGTTTGCAGACCCACCAGCAATGTAAGAGAGTGCCTTTTCCCCACATCCTCTTCAGCACTCACTATTGTTTGTATACTTGATAACTGCCATTCTCTCCGACTTATTTAGAAGTAGATTTTTTTAATCATATAACATTCTTGTACACTAATAGGAAAATGCAAGCAAAATACTGGGTAAGGAAATCCTAAAACTTCTTTGTTTCAAGGCTAAGTCATGAGGAAGACTTCAAAAATTTCATTTTAAAAGTAGATATATTTATGAGCACAATTTGTTCTGAGTTGAAAAAGAGGAGAAACTTCTAATGATGTACAGCACAGACTAGATAACCCAGCGGACAACAATTAATTGTACATTTCAAAAAATTTCCAACATGAAGAAATTATAAATGCTTGAGGGTAGGGAGATGCCCATTGCCCTGGTCCAAGGATCATCAGACCTCATACGCATGTATAGAAAAGTCACACTTAAATCAACATGGATGATTTTATGTGTCGATTAACATTTTCTGAAAGTTGATGACGCTTAGTGTGTGAGACATTAAGGGTGCACACAACTCAGGTGATGTGGTTGTGGTGTGAACAGTGTGACCACGTTCCCAAGTGGTGGTGGTGCTATCCCACGACCAT